ATAAATTGGGCTCATGAGTGACACAGTTTCGCGGACTCAACTAATAACTCTTATATCAAGTGTCTACAGGAAGCATCTAAACGCATTGCCACTCCTACAGTCAGAAGACTCGGTTTCGGCCGAGATGTTGATTCGTTTGTGTGTTTTGTTTCTGATTTCCAATGACGTGTTGATCGTCTGGGATTTGGTCATGATTCTTGTCACATGGTGTTTCTAAATTGATATGTATAGTTACACGGCTGCAAGAGAAAACATTATTTCTAGACTAAAAGAAATTAGTTCAGGATTAAATCTTGGTTTACATTCATTCAGAGCAGCGGCTGTAGCTTCCAGTGTCAATTAAAGGTGTATTAAAAGACATGGTAGATGAAAGCGTGAATCTATGAAGATATGTACATGTACATATATGTAGTAGACAAGTTTTAGAATTGCATTGCTGTATCTAAGAAATAAGGATTGTAATTATTTTCCCCCTCCCTTTTCCTCAATTATGCATTTTTCCTCGCACCCTAACTTTGGTATTTTTCTACAATATGCTTCCTGGGCTAGTCAGCAAATATATATTTGCATTTTTCTTTCATGAGAATAGAAAAGACTTAAGGTACGAAGATTAGCGGAAAATAATTGTCTTATTGATTCGGAAAAAAGTTATACAATGATATTGGAGTTTAAAGTCACGTGGTGTAAGTCTATGAGAGGTATTCGAACAGTACGAGGAATCAATTGTAGCCCGTCTTCCGAAGAAGACACGTCAAAATTTATTTTAATATAATTATAATTATATGCAAGAAAATTGATTATCATATATATATATATATATATATATATATATATATATATATATATATATATATATATATATATATATATATATATAGTTTAGATCATATATATATCTGTCGTATATTAGATTGATTGATTGTATACTGTTTAACGTCCCTCTCCAGAATATATCGTATATTAGAGGGCAAAAGGTTTCCAGAGGTTTTTCATCTTTGAAAAAGTCAAGTTTTTTAATCTCTGGTTTTCATCCGGGCCAGTCAAGTTTTTTTGAATCAATAATGTATTGAATTAGGCGTTTTTGTATTAAATGAGAAGTTATATGATGTGTGTAACAGATATTTTGTGTTAAATGTATGTACTATAGTTTAATAAACTGCCGGCTCCCCGATATGCTTCCTGGGCTATACGGCAAATATATATTTGCATTTTTCTTTTATGAGAATAGAAAAGACTTAATATTTTCCGCGGTACGAAGAAAATAATTGTCTTATTGATTCGGAAAAAAGTTATCCAATGAAATTGGAGTTTAAAGTCACGTGGTGTAAGTCTATGAGAGGTATTCGAACAGTACGAGGAATCAATTGTAGCCCGTCTTCCGAAGAAGACACGTCAAAATTTATTTTAATATAATTATAATTATATGCAAGAAAATTGATTATCATATATATATTTATATAGTTTAGATCATATATATATATCTGTCGTATATTAGAGGGCAAAAGGTTTCCAGAGGTTTTTCTTCTTTGAAAAAGTCAAGTTTTTTTTATCTCTGGTTTTCATCCGGGCCAATCAAGTTTTTTTGAATCCATAATGTATTGAATTAGGGATTTTTGTATCAAATGAGAAGTTATATGATGTGTGTTACAGATATTTTGTGTTAAATGTATGTACTATAGTTTAATAAACTGCCGGCTCCCCGATATGCTTCATGGGCTAGTCGGCAAATATATATTTGCATTTTTCTTTTGTGAGAATAGAAAAGACAACGATAATATATGGCAATGTTATTATTTCGCACATAGTTGCTTATCGAAAACAATTGTCCAATTCAATGACAGAACGACAAAACATGCTGGTTTACTACACGTTTTCATTTTATATAGACAGTGGTTTAGATCAATTTACCTTTTATCCTTTTCTACATTTCACACTTTTACAAATGTAATTTTCGGCAAAGGCTTATTATACTTACATGTACATGTAATAATACGCATGGATTCTCAGTGTTTACGGTTTTGGGTTAAGAAATGCACAAAAAACTTGTACTCACTGATACTCGGAAATACGTGTAGACCAACGGGTAGTGAATTACCCACCAAACACTTTACAAAACTTTAAACTATGTACATTAATCAATCAATTATTTGTTTCTGTGATCTCAGAAATCGTACATAGATCCGTGTCTTATCAGTGGCTTAAATCCATAAAAATAAATTTATCAGAAACCACGTTAATCAATCCTTTTCCAAGTATGAAATTTCCATAGTATTTTTCTGGTACTCACTCCTAACGCATCTCATTTAGCTGATTGGTCAGTTAGAAAGTATCGTAAGTGCCTCGATTAGCATATGAATTTATTCTGACGTCAGATAATCCACTTTCCTCGATCTGTTCATAATGGGAAAGTAGTAGTATAAGGGGCCTAGATAGGCGAGGATTTGATTGGCTGAGAGAAATCACGTGATCAAAAAGGCTGGATTCTGATTGGCTGAACCCTAACCCTAGCCCTAACCCTAACCCTAATGCTAACCCTACACCCCTTATGCCTAACCCTAGCCCTTACCCTAGCCCTTGCAGACGAACCTTATCCTTAATGCCAACCCTGACCCTAATGCCAACCCTCCACCACTTAAGGCTAATCCTAGGACTAGCCCTAACCCTAATGCTATCCCTACACCCCTTATGCCTAACCCTAGCCCCAACCCTAGCCCCTGCAGAGGACCCTTATCCCTAATGCCAACCTTGACCCTAAAGCCAACCCTCCACCACTTAAGGTCAAGCCCTAGCCCTAGCCCTAACCCTAGCCCTAGCCCTAGCCCTAGCCCTAACCCTAACCCTAACCCTAACCCTAATGCTATCCCTACACCTTTCATGCCTAACCCTAGCCCTGACCCTAGCCCCTGCAGACGAACCTTATCCTTAATGCCAACTGACCCTAATGCCAACCCTCCACCACTTAAGGCTAATCCTAGGACAAAATAATATATTTTGTTTATTTCTTACATACTATACCTTTTTTCAATTTCAATGGCACATAATATTCAAAAATTGATTAAGATACATTTTACTCTTTCTTACCCCAGGGTTATAATATACATTCCCCTTTTGGATGTTTTGTTCTTATAAATCTTTTTATATTTCATATTACAGGAAAATCAACCATCATTGAATATGAATAACCTGAAATTAAAAGAAATATTTGTCAGCTTCCTCTCAAATGACCTCTGCAAAGAGGTAAGTAGCATTTAAAAAAAAAAAAAAAATTAAGTCCCAACAAATATTCATTTTCCTTGAAGTGCTTAAATATACAGGAATTTAAGTAGAAACAAGACTGATTTTCCTTCGTTTAGGTAAACCGTACAATTATAAACCAAAACTTTTAAGGTTAATATTTAATTGACAAAAAAAAAGACAAATTAGGAGTCGCGACATCTCGAAATCACTGAGGTATCTCTTGTTCAGTCGCAACATAATTTTTCGACTTACTGAGTATTGCGAACAATTAGAATTATGCTAAATTTTGTGAATTCATAACATAATCTACTTAATGCAATTATTACAGTGCAAAATGTTTAAAAATGTTTATGTTACATTTTACACTTTCAAACCCCAGGGTTATGCATATACTTTTTTCTTGTATTTCTTAAAAATACAGTTAATTAAAGTAAAATCAGGGTTTTTTTTTTCTTCGTCTAAGTTAACCGTACAAATATAAAGTGGTATAATTCAATTTTATACGTATTCGACAAAATATATGGGAAAAATGATGTCGCGACATGTTAAAAACACTTAATGCATTTATTTTTTGTTGCGACTTGATATTTTGACAAACTAAATGTTGCAAACAATTTAAAACATGTTATATTTTAAAAATACAAATAGAAACATGTTATTTCCTGTTCTGTCTACACATATTTATTATTTGAGACTCTCAATACTGTGTTATTTTTGAAAAAAATAATTTGATAACCCAATTATTTGAATATTAAGGTCAAAACTTGTTCTTTCCTGTTTAATATTTCATTATAAGAGGAAACCATATCAATAAAAGGTGCACCAGAGCGTTAAACGGTCAAAATGTATAAATTTCAATAATTTTGTTCTAACCCCAGGGTTAGAAAGTGTAAAATGTAACATAAACTTTGAGGTCATATATCAGATTTATTTCTAGTAAAAATCAATAACTTTTACCCTAAAACAATATAAAAATTTTTATTTATAACTTTTAAATACTTAAATAATCTTAATTTAGGAATTAAAAACATAAAAATATTTGGTAAATAATTGTGTAAAATGTAACATAAGTGAGTACTATCTCAGCTAATAATAAAAATAGAAAGCTGAAACCCAGAGGGTTAGAAATCTTAAAACAGAGTAAATTCGGGTTGAAATAATCAATAAAATCAAAGTGATCGATTTTTAACCCTCGTATATACTTATGTTACAATTACACAAGTTATGTTACAATTTACACAAGTTACGTTACAATTTACACTTTTGAAAGGTTATGTTACAAAAAGTGAAAATTTATGTTACATTTTACACCAAGACGAGAGCCCTAACCCTAACCCTACTAACCCTAGCCCTAGCCCTAACCCTAGCCCTAACCCTAACCCTACTAACCCTAATCCCCTAACCCTAACCCTAACCCTCGCCCCTAACCCTAACCCTACTAACCCTAACCCTAACCCTAACTCTAACCTTACTAACCCTAACTCCCTAACCCTAAACCTAACCTTACTAACCCTAACCCTAACCCTACTAACCCTAACCCTAACCCTAACCCTAACCCTAGGGGGGCTAGGTGGGTCAGTACATAGCCCTAAATATGGTGTTTACACTGTGTTTACATTGGTACGTTGGTACTACGTTTTGTTTATGCTAACTATACAGGTAAATACTTTGGGGCCGTGTGCAAAACATTTCAAGAATGTCATTATGACGTCACGCTTCACAGTCTAGACAGTCTAGCCTAACCTGTTCAAACTGGTTTTTTTTTTACTGAAAACAATAACATATAACACACATGGTTTATATACCTTTACTGTAAGGGCCCTGTGCATCAATACGTTTTACCTGCGTTTTTATACCTGTTGCATCATCTGTAAGCACCGTGTGCAAAAAATTAGGGTCGTGTGCAAAAATATGTTGGACTTACCTTTTGATCTTACTGTGTACGTCTTTGTACACTATCTAGTCAGCGAACTTACCTATGCATTATGACGTCATCCACTTGTAAAATTAAAGTTTCATTTTCACTTTTGTTTCTAAGAAGTGAACTTAGATTTTCAGAAAATGTAGGACTATCTTTCGTTTTTCCTCTCTTTTACTATGATGATTTTCCTGCTGTGAAGCTTTTCTTGTATAAAGCTCAATTTCTCTCTGACCACGGAAGTAAACATCCTGATGCATTCTTGTCATGTGAATGTTGAGAGCGTGTTCATTTTTGAAATCTCCTTTCTGACAGACCTATTCCACAGGTAAGTTTGTCTTATTTTTGTTTACATTTCCTATGAAGGTCATCTTTGTATTTAACTATGATTTATATGTAAAGTTCTATTTTAAATGTAAATGCTGTATCTATCCTCATTTCATGGATTTACAGTTGTATAACCAGTGCATGTAACTCAGAGTGCATTTAATATTTCTATGATGGGTCATTCTATAATTGAATTTAAATCAGAACGATGTCCTCTAAATTTTGGTAAAATACATGGTATCTTTTACATTTCTGTCCCTTTTGTCTGTAAATTATTGCTTTACTTACATTGTAAAATGAGGTTAATTGTGTATCACTGAATTGTATGATTTTTTCAGGATCAGCTGAGATGTTATTTCACTGGATTATTTAATGGATAGGCTTATTGGGCATATATTTGGATATCTCTGGTAAGTTTTTCTTGTTTTTTAATTTTTACATTTCCTATGAAGGTCATCTTTGCATTTAAGCATGATTATATGGTTAATTTAATTACTGTGTAATACTTATGTGATCTGTTGTCTCTAACTTACATTCATATAACCACACCCTTATTTAGGGTCGTGTGCAAAAATATACCTTTTACCTGCGTTTTCTTATATACCTGTTTGCATCATCTGTAAAGGACCGTGTGCAAAAAAATTAGGGTCGTGTGCAAAAAATAAGTTGGACTTACCTATGCATTGTGACGTCATCCACTGTATAAATGCAATGTGATTATGACGTCACGTTTTCATTCACAGTCAAAGCCTAGCCAGTTCAAACAGCGAGCTTACCTATGCATTGTGACGTCATAAACTTGGCAGTGACGTCATGTTAGTCCTTCACAGCCTCGGTGGCTGCTTATTTTGACTTGCATTTAAGCATGATTATATGGTTTAATTTAATTACTGTGTAATACTTATGTGATCTGATATCTCTAACTTACATTCATATAAACACACCCTTATTTAACCTAAAATATATCAAGGGATCTTCAGAATATTAATAAGTCCTATTGTATAAATTATATGACATAATTTCATAATTCATTATGTATGTTACCCATGGCCATGGAATTCAGACTTACTAAATGGTGATCAAAGAGATATTAGGATTGTTATAACAGAAAAGTAAAAATCTACAAAAGATTAATCATAATAGTCATTTACTTTTTGTTTTGATTCTAAATATGTGTGATATATGGCATACATATATTTTCATTTTCACTTTTGTTTCTTAGTAATGAGCTTTTCAAAAAATGAAGGACTACATGTTGTACTGTGATGATGCTAAAAAATAATGTATTTTTCTGTATGCAGTACTGACAGGTATTAAACAAAATTGAATCTGCTGTTAATAAAAAGTCTTCTAGTGTCTAAATAATTAATCTGATAATCATTTTATTTGTGATATTAATACAGTAGTTGTGCTTGTTTATTATCTATAGATAACATGATGAACTTTTCTCATCTGGAGTTAATGTTAAAAACAATTTTTCGAGATTAAAAACAAATATTTTCATGATCCTTTTTTTTGGCATTGTACATGTTTGTTCAGGTTTTAAACATGCATTGTTTAATGCAGTACTCTGTCATATTAACAAAATGGTTTTATTTTTACAGTCATCAACATGGAAGATAAGTTTTGTTCCTAACCATCTATAATCAATTCTCTATGAAGTTCAGACTGTCTGCCCTTCCTTTGGAAATACACAGTTAGTCAACCAACATAGAAACACACAAACTTGAAGGTAAAGTTGCAATGAGATACAATTGTAATTTTTATTTATTTATTTATTTATTTACATATGCATTTTTATATTTTTGAATTGATAAGTAAATGATACATGATTTTTTAAATAAAGAGGGCTTGGTGGTCATGGTCATGTTTAAACTATTTTGATATCCTTTAGAAGAAGAAGAAAAAGGCATAAAAATTCATGATCAAATTTTTAAAACTAAAAAGTATGAAATTTTTCTTTGCCAAATGATAGTTAACAGATGAAGATAGCATATTTATAGAATAAGTTAAATATGGCTAATTTGTTAACCCCCAGCTTCCTTAAATGCATAGTTGGTAAAGATAGGAAGTTTTGACTTGAATTGTTGATGAATTCTGAATTTTCCATTTAATATTAACATTATATCAAAGGGAAAGAATACTATAATGTGGCTCATTAGGATGACCAGAAAAGAAATCTTAATGACCCTCTTGACTATGTATAAAGACTGTAACCATATAACTGATGTAAGATGATCTGATTGTGTGCAAATAAAATTTCCTAGTGTTTCTTCTACCCAAGATCTTCTTATGACTGCATGGGACTGCTGTAAACCTTCTGTTTATAAAAATAATACCTTAGAGCATGACACTTTATTCATAAGAGGTACTTTCAATATCATTTCTATGAGTTTGTGTTCTTTCTTTTTAATAATGTAGTGTTATATCTCCTTTAACCTCATTAATATGTATGCTTCCAAAATCTTAGATCTGTCTGTATAGTTTCTTCAGTTCTTTGAACACAAATACCCTGATTCAATCTTTTGAGGTAAACATCATAGAGACATCATAGATGATTATCAGAGTGTATATATCACAATCTTGACCATAAGGTCAATTTAAATGGTCAAAGGCACAACAAATGAAAGTGAAAACTTTTCTTTTTTTTAATCAGAATACATAATTTTGTAATAAACAAACACTGGAAAGTTACTCTCATAATGAGCCTTAATGTCTTCCAAGAGTTCAGTTTGGACTTCCTCCATTAATCCTTGTATCTTGTAATCCTTGTATCTCCAATGGTTTTGTGGGCTAAAAATCATGTGTCTTTAACAATCTTTTTTTTTCTGACAACTGTTTTCTCTTATCATCTATAAACTTGACTTCTTCTCTAGTCAAAGGTCTTTCAGTGTAATCCAAGTAATTCTCACCCTCTTTTGGTAATAAATGGTTATATTCTTAATTGGCTTCTTTTGAAATCAATGGTCTTTCTATGTAATCTCTGACGACATTAGGATCACCCTTTTCTGGACATAATTGGTTATATTCTTCTTGAGAAATGATCTCAATAGTGCCATCTTTTTTTATTTTAACTGGTATACCTCTGTCTACATCTTTCTCTGAAAGAATTCTCTCTCCAAACTGAATTTTACTCATTCCTTTAGTCTTTTCTTTACTAGAGGTGTTACCCATGGTTAATATGAAAAGTCAAAATCTTATGTTTCAACTTGTATTTATACCCTTTTTTGTCTATATTTAGAATTCCATCAAGCTTATATTACATTACATTTTTTTTTTCAACTAAGACATTTTTTTAATTTTCAGGATTCTCTAGTGAGGGCTTATGGAAATGATCTATGTCTACTCTTAGAATGGTAAAAGACTATCAGATTATGCAAAGACTAACAGAATATCCTCTCTTGGAACACTGAAACAAGAAAACCAAACTTAAGAGGATGGTGGATTTAAGAAGAACATAGATAAATATGATTTCCAACGAATTTAACCAGTACGATCATAGACTGTGGTTAACAGGATGACAAAGAAAGGACCCAGGATTGTATCTTTCACTGTCAGACACTGACTATGGATAAAGTGTAATCATTTATCAAACTGAGATCTAGTCAAATCAAGTATTGAAAATATGATTTTCTGATAGCATGAGCTCTTTAAAAACTAATTCTCACGGACCTCAAAGTATCTGAATGTGACTTTTATTTTTACCAATTCATATTGAAGACTGTTGTTATGTATGGGAATTACACATTTAAACCTTTTATTTTTCATCTAATTTTTACAACCCCTATAAATTACACATATATCCAGATGCTGGATTTAATGTTATTATTTAACTTTCCTGGAATTGTAAATATATTTTGTTTGTGTATGTATCATGTTTAATTTCGAATTTAAAATTGGTCTCAATAAGACCCCCATTAAAGATGCAAGTGTGTCATAATCTGTGGTTTAATAATATCTTGAATATCTTTATCATAACATATTCATCATACTAATTACATATAGAATGGTTGTAGGAATACACTTAGTTTTATAGGACACTTTGTCAGGGTCAAAGCATGAGATAATTGAGATAACTACCTTTGACAATAATTTGTAACCTGCAAAATTCACATCATAAGTAAAGAAAGATTTGGAGATTTTCTATAGATTTTTGGATCATTTTCTCCTGGATAAAATTTAGTTGTTGTAACTTTAACATTTTGTGATAACCTAAAGACTTTATATCAGCTCTATTGGGTGGCATAGCATATTCTTTGGAAAGAATTGAAATGTAAATCATATGCACTATGTTCAAGGATGTTTAAAGACTATTACTATGTAATACCTTAGAATTCTGTAAAAAATTTATTATCACTGCGTAGATAAAGACTGGTTAGGATAATTTATGTTTTGAAATAAGGTTTAGGGAAAAAAGTCAAGAATGTGGATATGACTTTTATTCATATGGTGCAGTACAGCAACTCTGGTGATTTACATACCTTCAGTCATAAATACATGTAGATAGGTATTGGAAAGACTCCTCTACATTTTGAAATTTTTAATTCAAAAGTATAGATTATTTTTTAAGTTTGAAAGATTAGATGGTAGCATATCATTTGCTTGTGAATTAAAAAATAAATCCAAACATATACATCTTTGGATGATAATTGTAGAATTTTATCAATTCCTGGACCTCGGTCTTGATATCATCCTTTAATGTCCTTAAAATTTTAATGACTGTCTTTTAGTTTTAGTTGAATTAATTTCTTTTCTACATGTGAAAATGACATCATTCAAAGAAGTTCTTCATCTGCATGTTATATGAAGAAGACAATTTTCATCACAGTGAAAGAGATTGTTTTGTTAAACATAATGCATTGATGCACAAATATACTTTTAGATTTCTAATAGCTAGGGTTCATATTTCTTAATATGGAATGCTAAGTACTGTTGATTTCAATTTTTTGTGAACAAAGTCATACTTGTAGAAAAAAAATGTACATGATGTGTTAGAAAAGCATGTGTAAACCTGATGACTTTATAATTGCTGATTAAATCAATTATGAGTTTCATCTTTGTTACATTGTAAACTTTCTAAGTAGGGCACACATCAGAAACTCTTAAAATTCTGAGTATCAGGGTTTGACACAACAATTCCAAATGATTTTTGGACGCTTTTTATGTATCAAAAAAAGACAAAACAGAATGTTTGTTCACAGATGTTCCAATGGAAAACAACCACGAAGAAATGATTTGAAATGTTCTTCATGTGATTCATGTAAAATGTATTTTAAAATTGTACCCTATCATTTATCTTTTGCATAAATACATTTTTGTTGAGAATTTCTCAAAACTTTGAAAAAAAAAAGTAGTCTTATTGTATAATATGGTTAACTTAAAATTTTGTAGACTTAAAAGTTGTACATGATGTGTTACACATCTTACATATGTAACCATTTCATTTCAGGGCATTCAGCATATATTGTGGTTTTGTCTTAAATTTGTTTGTTCATGTAATCAATAATTTGAGAATACTCAAATTAGGTAATGCATGAGAGAATAGGCAAGAAAATCAGGTTTAAGATATGGTTTTTACTATTTATAAGGGGTTAATCTATGTATTGAATCTATAAGTACATTTAGTCTATACATTTAAGGTATTTGTGCATGAAATAAACTTACATTTTAGCATTTTAAGAAAATTGTAAACATTGCTTTAGCCAGTTTTAAAAAATGATTAGATTCACTGTCAGCATGTTATTTCTTGTAAAATAAATGAGAAAACAAACAATTTTATTTGAGTCAGTTTTTTTTTTTTTATGTAAATAAGAAACATTGGAAGTTGGGAATATTTCACAAAGTTGATTGAACATAATACTCACTAGGACAGTTGGAGTATTATGATTTTACCCTAAAGGACACCATTTTAAATTTCAATATACAAATCATGATTAGTCATGCAGTATAAAGTTTACACTTGCCAAAAAGTAAATGGTATCTCTATTCAGGGTCAATCCAAAGGAATGAAAACAATGTTTCTTTCTATGTATCAAATTTAAAGGATTTCTTGCAATAATTTCCCTGTGTTCCTGTTCTGTTTTCTTTCTATGTATGGATAACCCTAACCTGTTCAATCAGAATACAAGAAGTAAATAAATCATGTCAAATGAAGAAGGTGCACAGCAGAAATTTACATGAATTGAACAGAGAATTCTGAGTTTCCCTCAAATATGACACAAAGTGATGTAAATTTAAAAGAAAATGTGGATCCATCTTATGATTGAGACTAGTACATATTATGAATGATGGGCACTATGACCATTAGAATGACATTACATTGATTCAATTATATGGACAGCTCTTAATCCATACAGTCAAAATGGAGGAAATATTTTTCTTTATAGGCATAAAGTAAGAAACACTCACACAATTCATCAGAATTTTACTCTTTAAAGAAAAGGAGCCTTACTTGCTTTGTTGAGTTGACATTCCTATTTTGTCTTTGGTAGGTACACTGATGGTTTCCTTGACTATAATGAGAACTTTTTATTTAAAAGTCCTCAGATTGTCCTGATATTTTGGTTAAAATAACTGCATGACATCAAATAATTTGTTCATACAAAGAAATAAAAGATTTTCCAGGTTTCTTCTTTTTTGGGTCAAATTAAAAATAATGTCCAACTAATATATCCAACATATAATACAAGATAATCATCCAAGTTACACAAAGGTAAATAAATGACATTTTTAAGGTTTTAGTCAAAAGATCAAAGTGAGAAGGATATTTAATAGTTTGGTTAATATTCATCATAAATTTTGATTTTCAGGTAAAAGATTAGCATAATTTTTGCTATACCATTGTTGTCCATGAATATCTAAACAACTCTATTGATTTTTCAGGTTAAGGGTCAATGTGTTCCTACTACAGTAAAACTTCATTAATATAAGGATATCAGGGTGATTCGTTTATTTGTTAGAAATTAGTTATAAAATCTCCCACTCTTTCTATAATATATAAGTGAATGTGCTCCTTAATTTTAAAGAATTTTACAACCAAATCATATACTGACTTTCAATCCTTCAAAACACAATATAAATTGAATCTTGATATTAATACTTTTAGGCTTTCAGACTTATAGGATTTCAATCTTAAAAACTTTCAGACTTTTAATCTTTAAAACATTTAATCATGAGGACTGATTATTTATCTAGTAAGTCTTGTCTTTATGTAATTAAGATCAGTCTTTAGTTATTCAAAATTTTCATTTTTGTAAAACCAAATTGTGAAAGTACGGTGTTTATGTAATCTTCTTAATGTTTATCTAAAATTATTGGATTTTAATACGGTCAAATATAATTTGTGATGATCAAAATTTCCAACTGAATTCAAAGACAAACTGCCTGACCAATATATATCTAAAGTTTCAACTCCATACAATCTTGAATATCCCTAGATATCAATACATTTATTCAGCATTAGCTATCATCCGTAAAATAACCTAAGGAACACTTTTATCGTAACTTTAAAAAACATGAAATTTCTCATGCAATTTTAAAGAATCTTTGTTATAAGGGATATTAGAGGCAAAGGATCCATAAATTTCCAAGTAGCAATATTTTAAAACTACATATCCACATTGAATTGATGATCATTTGAAGATCCCTTTTCTTGATAACTCATGAAATTTCATGTAGATAGTGACTATAATGTGTAATTAATCTTCATGAAAAAAAAGGATGGTGTTAAGTTAGCCACACCCAACATCCAAGGGAGAGGGAAGGGGGTTGAACCCTTTTGTCCAGGATACATGAATTTTAAAGGTTTAAAAAAAAAATTATAAAATTATATCAAATTTATAAGGTTAATATTTTTTAAGTTTTGTTTTTATTTAACTTTCAAATTTTCTTTTTAATAAAAACAAAACTTAAAAAATATAGTTAATATTTTTTAAGTTTTGTTTTTATTTAACTTTCAAATTTTCTTTTTAATAAAAACAAAACTTAAAAAATATTAACCTTATAAATTTGATATAATTTTATAATTTTTTTTTAAACCTTTAAAATTCATGTATCCTGGACAAAAGGGTTCAACCCCCTTCCCTCTCCCTTGGATGTTGGGTGTGGCTAACTTAACACCATCCTTTTTTTTCATGAAGATTAATTACACATTATAGTCACTATCTACATGAAATTTCATGAGTTATCAAGAAAAGGGATCTTCAAATGATCATCAATTCAATGTGGATATGTAGTTTTAAAATATTGCTACTTGGAAATTTATGGATCCTTTGCCTCTAATATCCCTTATAACAAAGATTCTTTAAAATTGCATGAGAAATTTCATGTTTTTTAAAGTTACGATAAAAGTGTTCCTTAGGTTATTTTACGGATGATAGCTAATGCTGAATAAATGTATTGATATCTAGGGATATTCAAGATTGTATGGAGTTGAAACTTTAGATATATATTGGTCAGGCAGTTTGTCTTTGAATTCAGTTGGAAATTTTGATCATCACAAATTATATTTGACCGTATTAAAATCCAATAATTTTAGATAAACATTAAGAAGATTACATAAACACCGTACTTTCACAATTTGGTTTTACAAAAATGAAAATTTTGAATAACTAAAGACTGATCTTAATTACATAAAGACAAGACTTACTAGATAAATAATCAGTCCTCATGATTAAATGCTTTTAAAGATTAAAAGTCTGAAAGTTTTTAAGATTGAAATCCTATAAGTCTGAAAGCCTAAAAGTATTAATATCAAGATTCAATTTATATTGTGTTTTGAAGGATTGAAAGTCAGTATATGATTTGGTTGTAAAATTCTTTAAAATTAAGGAGCACATTCACTTATATATTATAGAAAGAGTGGGAGATTTTATAACTAATTTCTAACAAATAAACGAATCACCCTGATATCCTTATATTAATGAAGTTTTACTGTAGTAGGAACACATTGACCCTTAACCTGAAAAATCAATAGAGTTGTTTAGATATTCATGGACAACAATGGTATAGCAAAAATTATGCTAATCTTTTACCTGAAAATCAAAATTTATGAAGCTTGTTTAATTAATCTATCCATGGAGTTTGATGAATATTAACCAAACTATTAAATATCCTTCTCACTTTGATCTTTTGACTAAAACCTTAAAAATGTCATTTATTTACCTTTGTGTAACTTGGATGATTATCTTGTATTATATGTTGGATATATTAGTTGGACACTTTTTAATTTGACCCCCAAAAAAAGAAGAAACCTGGAAAATCTTTTATTTCTTTGTATGAACAAATTATTTGATGTCATGCAGATATTTTAACCAAAATATCAGGACAATCTGAGGACTTTTAAATAAAAAGTTCTCATTATAGTCAAGGAAACCATCAGTGTACCTACCAAAGACAAAATAGGAATGTCAACTCAACAAAGCAAGTAAGGCTCCTTTTCTTTAAAGAGTAAAATTCTGATGAATTGTGTGAGTGTTTCTTACTTTATGCCTATAAAGAAAAATATTTCCTCCATTTTGACTGTATGGATTAAGAGCTGTCCATATAATTGAATCAATGTAATGTCATTCTAATGGTCATAGTGCCCATCATTCATAATATGTACTAGTCTCAATCATAAGATGGATCCACATTTTCTTTTAAATTTACATCACTTTGTGTCATATTTGAGGGAAACTCAGAATTCTCTGTTCAATTCATGTAAATTTCTGCTGTGCACTTTCTTCATTTGACATAATTTATTTACTTCTTGTATTCTGATTGAACAGGTTAGGGTTATCCATACATAGAAAGAAAACAGAACAGGAACACAGTGAAATTATTGCAAGAAATCCTTTAAATTTGATACATAGAAAGAAACATTGTTTTCATTCCTTTGGATTGACCCTGAATAGAGATACCATTTACTTTTTGGCAAGTGTAAACTTTATACTGCATGACTAATCATGATTTGTATATTGAAATTTAAAATGGTGTCCTTTAGGGTAAAATCATAATACTCCAACTGTCCTAGTGAGTATTATATTCAATCAACTTTGTGAAATATTCCCAACTTCCAATGTTTCTTATTTACATAAAAAAAAACTGACTCAAATAAAATTGTTTGTTTTCTCATTTATTTTACAAGAAATAACATGCTGACAGTGAATCTAATCATTTTTTAAAACTGGCTAAAGCAATGTTTACAATTTTCTTAAAATGCTAAAATGTAAGTTTATTTCATGCACAAATACCTTAAATGTATAGACTAAATGTACTTATAGATTCAATATATAGATTAACCCCTTATAAATAGTAAAAACCATTTCTTAAACCTGATTTTCTTGCCTATTCTCTCATGCATTACCTAATTTGAGTATTCTCAAATTATTGATTACATGAACAAACAAATTTAAGACAAAACCACAATATATGCTGAATGCCCTGAAATGAAATGGTTACATATGTAAGATGTGTAACACATCATGTACAACTTTTAAGTCTACAAAATTTTAAGTTAACCATATTATACAATAAGACTACTTTTTTTTTCAAAGTTATGAGAAATTCTCAACAAAAATGCATTTATGCAAAAGATAAATGTTAGGGTACAATTTTAAAATACATTTTACATGAATCACATGAAGAACATTTCAAATCATTTCTTCGTGGTTGTTTTCCATTGGAACATCTGTGAACAAACATTCTGTTTTGTCTTTTTTTGATACATAAAAAGCGTCCAAAAATCATTTGGAATTGTTGTGTTAAACCCTGATACTCAGAATTTTAAGAGTTTCTGATGTGTGCCCTACTTAGAAAGTTTACAATGTAACAAAGATGAAACTCATAATTGATTTAATCAGCAATTATAAAGTCATCAGGTTTACACATGCTTTTCTAACACATCATGTACATTTTTTTTCTACAAGTATGACTTTGTTCACAAAAAATTGAAATCAACAGTACTTAGCATTCCATATTAAAAAATATGAACCCTAGCTATTAAAAATCTAAAAGTATATTTGTGCATCAATGCATTATGTTTAACAAAACAATCTCTTTCACTGTGATGAAAATTGTCTTCTTCATATAACATGCAGATGAAGAACTTCTTTGGATGATGTCATTTTCACATGTAGAAAAGAAACTAATTCAACTAAAACTAAAAGACAGTCATTAAAATTTTAAGGACATTAAAGGATGATATCAAGACCGAAGTCCAAGAATTGATAAAATTCTACAATTATCATCCAAAGATGTATATGTTTGGATTTATTTTTTAATTCACAAGCAAATGATATGCTACCATCTAATCTTTCAAACTTAAAAAAAAAATCTATACTTTTGAATTAAAAATTTCAAAATGTAGAGGAGTCTTTCCAATACCTATCTACATGTATTCATGACTGAAGGTATGTAAATCACCAGAGTTGCTGTACTGCACCATATGAATAAAAGTCATATCCACATTCTTGACTTTTTTCCCTAAACCTTATTTCAAAACACAAATTATCCTAACCAGTCTTTATCTACGCAGTGATAATAAAATTTTTACAGAATTCTAAGGTATTACATAGTAATAGTCTTTAAACATCCTTGAACATAGTGCATATGATTTACATTTCAATTCTTTCCAAAGAATATGCTATGCCACCCAATAGAGCTGATATAAAGTCTTTAGGTTATCACAAAATGTTAAAGTTACAACAACTAAATTTTATCCAGGAGAAAATGATCCAAAAATCTATAGAAAATCTCCGAATCTTTCTTTACTTATGATGTGAATTTTGCAGGTTACAAATTATTGTCAAAGGTAGTTATCTCAATTATCTCATGCTTTGACCCTGACAAAGTGTCCTATAAAACTAAGTGTATTCCTACAACCATTCTATATGTAATTAGTATGATGAATATGGTATGATAAAGATATTCAAGATATTATTAAACCACAGATTATAAGACAGTTGCATCTTTATTGGGGGTCTTATTGAGACCAATTTTAAATTCAAAATTAAACATGATACATACACAAACAAAATATATTTACAATTCCAGGAAAGTTAAATAATAACATTAAATCCAGCATCAGGATATCTGTGTAATTTATAGGGGTTGTAAAAATTAGATGAAAAATAAAAGGTTTAAATGTGTAATTCCCATACATACCAACAGTCTTCAATATGAATTGGTAAAAATAAAAGTCACATTCAGATACTTTGAGGTCCGTGAGAATTAGTTTTTAAAGAGCTCATGCTATCAGAAAATCATATTTTCAATACTTGATTTGACTAGATCTCAGTTTGATAAATGATTACACTTTATCCATAGTCAGTGTCTGACAGTGAAAGATACAATCCTGGGTCCTTTCTTTGTCATCCTGTTAACCACAGTCTATGATCGTACTGGTTAAATTCGTTGGAAATCATATTTATCTATGTTCTTCTTAAATCCACCATCCTCTTAAGTTTGGTTTTCTTGTTTCAGTGTTCCAAGAGAGGATATTCTGTTAGTCTTTGCATAATCTGATAGTCTTTCACCATTCTAAGAGTAGACATAGATCATTTCCATAAGCCCTCACTAGAGAATCCTGAAAAATAAAAAAAAAAATGTTTTAGTTGAAAAAAAATGTAATGTAATATAAGCTTGATGGAATTCTAAATATAGACAAAAAAGGGTATAAATACAAGTTGTAACATAAGATTTTGACTTTTCATATTAACCATGGGTAACACCTCTAGTAAAGAAAAGACTAAAGGAATGAGTAAAATTCAGTTTGGAGAGAGAATTCTTTCAGAGAAAGATGTAGACAGAGGTATACCAGTTAAAATAAAAAAAGATGGCACTATTGAGATCATTTCTCAAGAAGAATATAACCAATCATGTCCAGAAAAGGGTGATCCTAATGTTGTCAGAGATTACATAGAAAGACCATTGATTTCAAAAGAAGCCAATGAAGAATATAACCATTTATTACCAAAAGAGGGTGAGAATTACTTGGATTACACTGAAAGACCTTTGACTAGAGAAGAAGTCAAGTTTATAGATGATAAGAGAAAACAGTTGTCAGAAAAAAAAAGATTGTTAAAGACACATGATTTTTAGCCCACAAAACCATTGGAGATACAAGGATTACAAGATACAAGGATTAATGGAGGAAGTCCAAACTGAACTCTTGGAAGACATTAAGGCTCATTATGAGAGTAACTTTCCAGTGTTTGTTTATTACAAAATTATGTATTCTGATAAAAAAAAGAAAAGAAAAGTTTTCACTTTCATTTGTTGTGCCTTTGACCATTTAAATTGACCTTATGGTCAAGATTGTGATATATACACTCTGATAATCATCTATGATGTCTCTATGATGTTTACCTCAAAAGATTGAATCAGGGTATTTGTGTTTAAAGAGCTGAAGAAACTATACAGACAGATCTAAGATTTTGGAAGCATACATATTAATGAGGTTAAAGGAGATATGACACTAGATTATTAAAAAAAAAGAACACAAACTCATAGAAATGATATTGAAAGTACCTTTTATGAATAAAGTGTCATGCTCTAAGGTATTATTTTTATAAACAGAAGGTTTACAGCAGTCCCATACACTCATAAGAAGATCTTGGGTAGTATATTTTTTTTTAAGAAACACCAGGAAATTTTATTTCCACACAATCAGATCATCTTACATCAGTTATAAGGTTAAAATCTTTATACATAGTCAAGAGGGTCATTAAGATTTCTTTTCTGGTCATCCTAATGAGCCACATTATAGTATTCTTTCCCTTTGATATAATGTTAATATTAAATGGAAAATTCAGAATTCATCAACAATTCAAGTCAAAACTTCCTATCTTTACCAACTATGCATTTAAGGAAGCTGGGGGTTAACAAATTAGCCATATTTAACTTATTCTATAAATATGCTATCTTCATCTGTTAACTATCATTTGGCAAAGAAAAATTTCATATTTTTTAGTTTTAAAAATTTGATCATGAATTTTTATGCCTTTTTCTTCTTCTTCTAAAGGATATCAAAATAGTTTAAACATGACCATGACCACCAAGCCCTCTTTATTTAAAAAATCATATATCATTTACTTATCAATTCAAAAATATAAAAATGCATATGTAAATAAATAAATAAATAAAAATTACAATTGTATCTCATTGAAACTTTACCTTCAAGTTTGTGTGTTTCTATGTTGGTTGACTAACTGTGTATTTCCAAAGGAAGGGCAGACAGTCTGAACTTCATAGAGAATTGATTATAGATGGTTAGGAACAAAACTTATCTTCCATGTTAATGACTGTAAAAATAAAACCATTTTGTTAATATGACAGAGTACTGCATTAAACAATGCATGTTTAAAACCTGAACAAACATGTACAATGCCAAAAAAAAAGATCATGAAAATATTTGTTTTTAATCTCGAAAAATTGTTTTTAACATTAACTCCAGATGAGAAAAGTTCATCATGTTATCTATAGATAATAAACAAGCACAACTACTGTATTAATATCACAAATAAAATGATTATCAGATTAATTATTTAGACACTAGAAGACTTTTTATTAACAGCAGATTCAATTTTGTTTAATACCTGTCAGTACTGCATACAGAAAAATACATTTTTTTTTTTAGCATCATCACAGTACAACATGTAGTCCTTCATTTTTTGAAAAGCTCATTACTAAGAAACAAAAGTGAAAATGAAAATATATGTATGCCATATATCACACATATTTAGAATCAAAACAAAAAGTAAATGGCTATTATGATTAATCTTTTGTAGATTTTTACTTTTCTGTTATAACAATCCTAATATCTCTTTGATCACCATTTAGTAAGTCTGAATTCCATGGCCATGGGTAACATACATAATGAATTATGAAATTATATCATATAATTTATACAATAGGACTTATTAATATTCTGAAGATCCCTTGATATATTTTAGGTTAAATAAGGGTGTGTTTATATGAATGTAAGTTAGAGATATCAGATCACATAAGTATTACACAGTAATTAAATTAAACCATATGATCATGCTTAAATGCAAGTCAAAATAAGCAGCCACCGAGGCTGTGAAGGACTAACATGACGTCACTGCCAACTTTATGACGTCACAATGCATAGGTAAGCTCGCTGTTTGAACTGGCTAGGCTTTGACTGTGAATGAAAACATGACGTCATAATCACATTGTATTTATACAGTGGATGACGTCACAATGCATAGGTAAGTCCAACCTATTTTTTGCACACGACCCTAATTTTTTTGCACACGGTCCTTTACAGATGATGCAAACAGGTATATAAGAAAACGCAGGTAAAAGGTATATTTTTGCACACGACCCTAAATAAGGGTGTGGTAATATGAATGTAAGTTAGAGACAACAGATCACATAAGTATTACACAGTAATTAAATTAACCATATAATCATGCTTACATGCAAAGGTGACCTTCATAGGAAATGTAAAAATTAAAAAACAAGAAAAACTTACCAGAGATATCCAAATATATGCCCAATAAGCCTATCCATTAAATAATCCAGTGAAATAACATCTCAGCTGATCCTGAAAAAATCATACAATTCAGTGATACACAAATTAACCTCATTTTACAATGTAAGTAAAGCAATAATTTACAGACAAAAGGGACAGAAATGTAAAAGATACCATGTATTTTACCAACATTTAGTGAACATTTTTATGATTTAAATTCAATTATAGAATGACCCATCATAGAAATATTAAATGCACTCTGAGTTACATGCACTGGTTATACAACTGTAAATCCATGAAATGAGGATAGATACAGCATTTACATTTAAAATAGAACTTTACATATAAATCATAGTTAAATACAAAGATGACCTTCATAGGAAATGTAAACAAAAATAAGACAAACTTACCTGTGGAATAGGTCTGTCAGAAAGGAGATTTCAAAAATGAACACGCTCTCAACATTCACATGACAAGAATGCATCAGGATGTTTACTTCCGTGGTCAGAGAGAAATTGAGCTTTATACAAGAAAAGCTTCACAGCAGGAAAATCATCATAGTAAAAGAGAGGAAAAACGAAAGATAGTCCTACATTTTCTGAAAATCTAAGTTCACTTCTTAGAAACAAAAGTGAAAATGAAATGGATGACGTCATAATGCATAGGTAAGCTCGCTGACTAGATAGTGTACAAAGACGTACACAGTAAGATCAAAAGGTAAGTCCAACATATTTTTGCACACGACCCTAATTTTTTGCACACGGTGCTTACAGATGATGCAACAGGTATAAAAACGCAGGTAAAACGTATTGATGCACAGGGCCCTTACAGTAAAGGTATATAAACCATGTGTGTTATTTGTTATTGTTTTCAGTAAAAAATCCAGGTTGTTATTGTTTTCAGTAAAAAAAAATCCAGTTTGAACCTGGTTAGGTTAGGCTAGACTGTCTAGACTGTGAATGAAAAGTGTGACGTCATAACGTCTTGAAATGTTTTGCACACGGCCCCAAAGTATTTACCTGTATAGTTAGCATAAACAAAACGTAGTACCAACGTACCAATGTAAACACAGTGTAAACACCATATTTAGGGCTATGTACTGACCCACCTAGCCCCCCTAGGGTTAGGGTTAGGGTTAGGGTTAGTAGGGTTAGGGTTAGGGTTGGGGAGTTAGGGTTAGTAAGGTTAGGGTTAGGGTTAGGGTTAGTAGGGTTAGGGTTAGGGGCTAGGGTTAGGGATAGTAGGGTTAGGGTTAGGGTTAGGGTTAGTAGGGTTAGGGTTAGGGTTAGGGTTAGTAGGGTTAGGGTTAGGGGCTAGGGTTAGGGTTAGGGTTAGGGTTAGGGGGTTAGGGTTAGGGTTAGGGTTAGGGGGTTAGGGTTAGGGTTAGGGTTAGGGTTAGGGTTAGTAGGGTTAGGGTTAGGGTTAGGGCTAGGGTTAGGGTTCAGCCAATCAGAATCCAGCCTTTTTGATCACGTGATTTCTCTCAGCCAATCAGAATCCTCGCCTATCTAGGCCCCTTATACTACTGAAAGTCAAGCTAGAATTTACTTTTTACTGAATAACTCAGGTGACCTATTGCTATCCGTTTTCGTTCGTCGTGCGTCGTCCGTCGTGTGTTAACATTTGAATATTTTCAGCTTCTTCTCTAAAACCAATGAACCAATTTCAACAAAATTTGGTATACAGCAACATAGTCTGAAAATAAATAAATGCTTTGAAATCTGCTCTTTAATATTAATCAACCATTTTATGATAAAATTTGCAAAATTTTGAAATATGTGGCTCCAGGGTCAGTGGTTCCTTTGGGGTGAGGTGCATAACTGGTTATAAAATGGAAGTGCATTTTCTCTTTGTTACTTTGATCTACCTCTGGGTATTAAGTAGATAGAGTAAGTATGCTAAGTTTATAATTATGATAAGCAATGGTGCCTCTTTCAAAATTGTGAATTTCATGGCCTGTGGTTTAAAACAGGAACCAATTTTAATTGTTTGAAAGTTATTACACGATTTTTAGGTGACCCATAAGGCCCGTGGGCCTTTTGTTTTAAATAGCATATGAGCGCAGATATGTTCAATTTTCTTTTTTCCCATATTGGTAGATGTCAATAAAATACAGTGACCAGCCGAAGGAGAAAATTGTACCTACATGCGCTCGTATATTTAAGGGGCTTGAAAGAGAGAGGCGGGTCAGAATTCAATAAGAATTGGATGTAAGCATGATACCCCTACCTAGATAAAAGATCTTTCAACTCACGTTTCTATTTTTGTTAAAAATAGTACTCCATAAAGGTACACATATCAATGATAAATTACATTTAAAAAATGAGTAAAAGAGCTTGGTCCACTTTATGCATAGATGGCCCAATTGATTGAAACTTGATTTTCCATTTTTAGGTCACAGGTGACCTATTGCTATCCGTTTTCGTCCGTCGTCGTGCGTCGTGTGTTAATATTTGAACATTTTCAGCTTCTTCTCTGAAACCACTGCACCAATTTCAACCAAATTTGGCACAAAGAATTTATGGGTAAAGGGGAACAAAATTTGTGAATTTCATGGTCCCTGGGGCCTGAGGGGTGGGGCCAAAACCACTAGAATTAGTGCAATCTTTAAACATCTTCTTTACTCCTGGACATCATGCAGTCAAACTGTTTGCATGATTGTAATCAGCATTGAGTCCTCTACCAAAATTGTGAAATTCATGACCCTGGGGTCAGGGGTTCTAGTGCTAAAGGCGGGGCTAATAGAGTATATAGTGAAAATGCATAAATTCTTTGAAAATCTTCTTCTCTGCTCCTGGGCATTAAATAAACTAAATAATTATATAGTTATGTTAAATAAGGCTGCCCCTACCAAAATTTTGAATGTCATGGCCCTGGGGTCAGGGGTTCTGAGGTGCTAGGGTGGGGGCTCTATTGATTATATAGTGAAATTGCATAAATTCTTTGTAAATCTTCTCTGTTCCTGGGTATTAAATAAACTAGTCAAGTACATAGTTATCATGGGCGGATACAGAATTTGTGATTGGGGGGGGGGGGCGGGGATAATTTTTTTTACGCAAGGGGTCTGGGGGCCGCCTTAATGCGCCATGACCCTTTGAACTTTAATCTTTTTTTCTAAACAGGTAGTTTACTACAACTGTCTTTATCGGAATTCGTGGTGCAATGGTTAGCGCGTCTGCCATCTGATCAAAAGGTCCTGAGTTCCATTCCTGCTGGAAGAGAACTATATTTTCGCTTTATTTTATTTTTTTTAAATTTATTTATTTATTTATTTTTTTATTTTTTTAACAATCCAAATTACTTGGAAACATTTTTTCAAAAAAGGTGGAAAGACCTTCTAATTGTTCAGTGAACAATTAGTCTACTAGTTTTTCCGCCATGTGTTTTTCAGTTTCAAGATTTATCGAAAAGATTTTAATTTCATAACGTACTCCCTAAAAGATTTCAGCAGTTGACCCTGCGTATTCAAATTTTAACCCCTTTCAAAGTTATTGCCCCTTACGCAAGAAATGCTTGTTATCGCTACTTCTCCGAAACCGTAAACCGCAGAGGTTTGAAACCTTTACTAATGTTGAGAGAACCTTCGGATCTATTCATTGCGAAAGGATTCGTAGACCCCTTCTATGAGTTATTGCCCCTGAAAGTTTTTGAATTTTACGACTAATGAAAAATTTTCAAAACAAGAAGTCGTAGAGACATGGGACCAACTGCATAAGATTTATTGACCTTTGACCATAAAATTTATGCAAAGGTCAAAGGTCAAGGTCATTCCAAAAATAAGAAATTAAGCTCTTTTATATCTCTTTTGTCGTTCAACATATACTTAATATCTTTGCATCATTAATATGCACTCTTAAAACTATTTCAAATATTTCATTCTTGTCCCCGAAGATTGACCCACTCAAAAGTTATTGCCCCTTGTGCGAAAAACTTTGTTATCGCTACTCCTCCGAAACCGTAGACCGTAGAGACACCAAACCTTCACTAAAATCTTAGTGGTCTTTAGGCATAACTTCACGGTATAAGTGCAAAAGGATTTGATGACCCCCTATATGAGTTATCGCCCTTTAACGTTTTTGTACTAACTATTAAACCTTATAACTTGAAAACTATAAGTGGTAGAAGTATGGGGTCAACTGCATTGTGACCTTTGACCTTGAACATTTTTCAAGGTCAAAGGTAAAGGTAATTTTTTTATTTTCATTTTTTCTATCCTTTAAAATAATTTTGGTTTCTGATTCATTGAATTTAGTTTCAAGGAGTCAGATATAAAACAAAATTGAAATTCAAAGAAGGTGGAAAGACTTCTTCTTGTTCTGTGAACAATAAGTCTCCTAGTTAGGTCTTTCCACCTTTCTGTGGAAAGACCTCTTGAAATGCTTATGTTTATTAGGTCTTTCCACCTTTCTGTGGAAAGACCTCTTGGAGTAGGGTGGGGCCAAAATGGCTGATCAAAGTTTTACATAGGAATATATAGGATGTTTAATTTAAAAATCATCTTCTCAAGAACCGTTGAGACAGGAAAGATGAAACTCATGTGGAATCATCCTCAGGTACTGTAGATTTAAGTTTGTTCAGATCATGACCCATGGGGGTAGGTTTGGGCCAAAGGGGTAGATCAGAGTTTTACATAGGAGTATATAGAGAAATCTTTAAAAATCTTCTCAAGTACTGCAAAGCCGTGATTAGTGATATTTATATGTAAGCTGTAGCATCCTCAGGTAGAGCATATTCGAGTTTTCTTAAATCATGCGCCCGGGGGTAGAGAAGGGCCACAATGGCTGAACAAAGTATTACCTAGGAATCATCCTCAAGTAGTGTAGATTCAAGTTTGTTCAAATCATGACCCCCGGGGGTAGGGTGGGGTCAATATGGCCGATCAAAGTTTTACATAGGAATATATAGGGAACTTCTTAAAAATCTTCTCAAGTACTTTAAAGCCATGATTAGTGATATTTATATTGAAGCATCCTTAGGTTGTGCATATTCTAGTTTGTTAAAATCATAACCTTTAGAGATAGGGTGGGGTCACAATTGGTGATCCTAGTTTTACATTAAAATATACAAAAAAAGTGCGTTAAAAATAAGACCAATCATTATAGGGACAAAATCAACGCACTTTGAAAAATTTTTTCAAAGTGCGTTAAATTTGGGACCAACCCAACGCACTCTGAAAAAATTTTTCAAATTGCGTTAAGAGTCTACATCAATATATTTTACCATGGAGACACTTAACGCACTTTGAAAAAAAATCATATTTTAGTCATGGAAAGATTTTATTTGTTATTTATCTTTAAAAAAAACTAAGCCTAACCCTAACCTCAAAAATTAATTGATTTTACTCCCGTCGAAAAGAGGAGAAGACGGGTATAAGATCCCTAAGTCCAAATCTTTATCTTTCCAATACATAGGAGTCGGTAACAAACGGGGGAGGGGAGCAATAAACCTAATAAGTGTACGCTGCATTTTCAATGCTTATACGATGTATATATCTTTCCAAAATAAATGGGGGGCTTAGCCCCCCATCACCTCCCTGGCCCTTCGCCCAGTCTCGATGTCTATGCTATACTCAAAGCATTTATATAATTATGTATTTACCTAACTGGT